TTATAGGTAAAATTGTCCTCCTGACATTTTTTATTAATGCTTCAAGACAGGTTTAGACACTCGTTTCTTGTATTTTCGATGTTTTTCACTTTTTTTCTTTGTTTTTGTCTTGTCGGGCTGATCTGGGTTGATCAAATTTTATATTTTGATTGGCTGTTAGTCATGTGAATGCACCTGGCTTTAGACGGTCTCTAAATAAGATGTGATCTGCAATAACCAAATATGGTATATTCCTAGACTGTATTATTTCTGAGTGGCAGGAAAATTACCCTTCTTACAAAAATCTCATATATGTCTATTTCTGAAACTAATATACCTGTATCTACCTCTACTAGTTTCACTACAGCAGAAGAAAAAAATGTTCCCACCTTAGCTGAAGTGATTCGAAATTATAAAACGAAGGAGCTTATAGATTTTTTACGTAAAGAAGAAGACTTGGTGCTTGATAATGACGACTTGAAAATTATTAAAAAGGAAAAAATTACAGGCTGTGCTTTTCTTAAAACAACTAAAGAAGAGCTCCGAAGTTTAGGTTTAGGTTTTGGACCTGCTTTAGACCTTTCAGATTTCGTTAGAGAACTGGGCAAATATAAATTAAAAGCCTTCTCCTCATACAAGAGTTTGAAGGAAGTGTTGAAAAAATATAATATTAATGGTAATGGTATAGGCACTATATGTCAATTTTCATCAAGTAAGTTTTTAATACAGATATTCTTAACATTACCAGGGCTATGTTAACCTTTTTTCATTCTTTTTTTTTTTTTTCAAAGAAACTTACCAACTCAAAGACGAGGATGATGAGTTAGAACAATGTATAAGGGAAATAAAACACAGACTGGGAAATATGGGTACTATACTTGCCGATAGCAATGAAGCCATGTGCTGTGAATATATCTTGGCCATTCTTCATGCTTCGCTTTATATCGTTAAAAGAATAACAAACAAAGAACTTACCTTAGCTCCTCAACTCAAAGTTGTTGGTGAAGAAAGTACCGGTAGAGTTGACTACGTGATCAAGGACCTAGAAGAACTTATTTGTATCACAGAAGAAAAATTACATTAGGTGGTCATGGGGTTTGCTCAAAATTTGATCCAATGTGAAAGTGTATTGCAAGCGAATAAACGTAAGAGAAAACATAAGTCAAATGAAGAGTTTATGGACGACTATGACTATATCTATAGGATTGTTACAACAGCTACAGACTGGTATTTCATCCTTTATACCTCAGACAGAATATCCTGTACAAGCAAAAATTCTCTTAATATTTGTTTTACCGAGTCTGTCTTGAAAGAGGGTTCGGAGGAAGAAAAGGAGTTATGTAAAAACATGAAATGGGTGATGGAAGTTATTATAGAATTATTAAAAGATAGAGTGGATGTTAAAAAGGAACCGGTAGCAAAAAGGCAATGAGTTCAAGGGTTTTTTGGAAATTAGGAGTAATTATGTATAGATTACGTATAAATTTTTGATTCATTAAACAATCAAATATTGAATTAAACATATTTATCTTATTGTTTTATGTAATATATTATTTACTAAGTTTATATGATAGAAATAGAGAAATGAGTATATGTATAATTAAGCAACTAAGATTTTAAGTTTATTGATAAGTTTATTGAATAAAAAAATATGTTAATTAAGATCATAAAAATTTTATTTCAATTTGCTCTTTTATAAAATCATATGATAATGGTGCAGTAAATAATTAAATTATCTTTATTAAACATAAGAATTTCCTAAATCATATTTTTTTAAACAATGTAATATTTGTAATTTAATTATTGTTCAAAGCATTAATGTTTGTCAGATTTACGTGTCGCGTATCTGCTAAACTTTGAATGAATCACTACAAACGCTACTAAGTCCCGTGTCTGCTAAACTCAAGAATTAATATATTTGGTAGAAGTCAGTTTTGTCTCGTATATACTGAATTTAATCAACTTTAGGGTTAGGGTTAATCAGTGTTATTCTTAGTATTAAAAATATAAATTAGTATTTGAATGCCGGTACGTGCTATTAACTATCAAACTTTATAGGAAAGTACAATGATGTTTTAGTAAAATTAATATGGTTAGATGTCGATCTTTGTTATTCGTGTTTATTTAATCAAATATAATTCTATTATTCACAGGTTATATAAACATCTATTTTACACTCAATATCAAACAAAAAAATGTTTTTGATCAAATGGACTTCGCTGGGTGAAGATTCATTTAGGGTGTATGTCAAACAAACACTCGATATTACTTATGAAGAATTTTTAAATGATAATAATACGTATTTTAATAAACGTCATAGTGATCTTTTCAACACGTTTATTTATGATATACTTATGAAAAATAAGATTTTATGCCAAGTTAATTGTACCATAATGTTCTTTGATAATAATAAGAAAAAAACTTTTAGTGACGGAAATATTGATTTTGCAGTGAGTATTTCTCATTTAATATGATTGTAGAGTTCGGGATCAATATGCAGACACGCTGTCGTTGATTAAGTCTAGTAGGCGGGAATACTACAAAGATGCTTTGGGTGACCCCCCCATGATTTACTGAAAGTTGTCCAATAAAGATATTGACAAATATTGATGATGCAAGAAATATTAATGATTCTTTTATTTATAGGTCGATACAAAACATTGAATTTCAGTGGTCAATGTAAACTGAAAACTGGAAACACACAAGTTCTTATGGAAGATATTCGAGCATTTTTATCTACAATATCTAATCGACCCGATGAATATGGATTTCTTGTATCTAATAATATAGCTTCCGAAAACACTTTAACTTTATTATCTAATACAGCTTTAAATAAACATGTTTTTGTATGTCGATATTGAGAATTAGTTGAGTTAGTTAAAATATATCAGGAAAATTATGATAAAAATTAAAATGAAGAAATATTTTGAACGAAGGGAAATAAAAAGATAGAACACCTTGAAGTTACTAATGAGAAACTTAAAAAACGAATCCGAGAATTTAGAAGATAAACAAACAAAAGAATATAATGATAAATTTAAAAGCATCAATGAGAAACTTGAGTTGGTTTTAAATAAACTTGAAAAATAGTTTATAAGATTAAAGTTCTTTTTAATAAATTATTAAATAATATTACATGATAAAACAAATTTATTTTTGTAAATTTTCTTGAATGTAGTAATATGATCTGTTATCCGTTGAATACAAACTTAATAGTTAAATCCACAGATATATGTTGAATTTAATATGAAAACAGATCATATTACTACTCAAGATACATTACTAAATGACAAAGATCAATTGAATCAATTAGATCATATAGAGTTAAATAATGATTGAGATAATCCAGAACAACAACTATCCTTTATTTGAGAACTTGCATCAATTATACAGAATAAAAAACATGATTTATATTGCTCGATTCAAGAAAATAATAATCAGAGTCACGAGTAATAATGCATATAAATGAGTAACAGAATTTTTAAAAAAATTTTTAATGAACTGACAGCATCTGACTTTTTATCAATTTTTGTCTTAAACAACAAGAATTGATATATATTAACGAAGTACTAAACTCTTCTGAGATTAGTTCCTGATACTCACAATAGAAAAACTGACCAAAGCACCATCCTTAAAAAATAGTAAACCTAAGTATGGCACCTCTCATGGAAAAATATATCATCCATCAAATCTGTTTATGATCTATCATAAAAATTACACCGCTAAAATGAAATCAACGAGTTTATTAGCTCATACAACTCAAACTTCAGCAAAAATATCAAAAATATGGGCTCAAGAATCAAAATCTCTATAGTCATCTCAAATATTAAATGGTGATTTTTCTTGATATAGGTGATTCATTTTCATTATTTTTTTTTTATCAATGGTTACAGTTCATTTAGTTTTTTAATTTTTTTTTATTAAAAAAAATTCATTTATTCCCAAAAGATTTAATGAAATATTTAGATTATGGAGTATCTGAATATTGTTACAACTATATTTGCCAACTTCTAATACAAAAAACTTGTTCTATCTACAATACTTAAGTGCAGATTTCGAGATGCCGGCATCTCCAGCAACGTACTTGACTATGTCTTCACTTCTATCCCCATCTTTACAAATATCCTTGTTCACTTGCTTACAGTCTTTAATTTTTATTATTTTCTTTGACTTCATAATCCTTCCATATGACCAACAATCTTTATTAAAAATAGGATCAAATCTAAATCCTACTTTGTAATATCGAGAGCACAAAAATCGAGAAGTTTCATTATTCTTCTCAATAGAAGAGTGGCCCTCTAAGGTCTTGTGTACTTTGTAAGTCGTGTGAAAAACTTTCATTTCTCTCCGTATAAAGTCAAGAGATTCGTATTTCTTCTCTTCTTTTCCGTATTTTACATCATCAAAACCTTCAGTAAATATTTCGTTCTGTAAACGTGGTATAAATATTAGAATATAATGATATTCAAAGTAAGAATTTCATATCGGCTACTATCTCGACATTAAAAATATCATCATAGATAGTCGATTATACAATATCAGTAATATTCTTCATCGAGAATACTACTATGTCTTACCGTCTGATCATTATCAAAGAATTGCTGTTGATTATTTGGGAAATAGTAAGGTTTATTATTTATCAATAAATTTTTTATGTATGTCGGATATTAACTTATATAAGAACTAATTATATTAATGTCTATACGATGTCTTAATGAATCCAAATTTAGTTAATCAGTATAGTGGTATTATATTTAGATTAGTCTTATCAAGAATAATTTTATTTATTTTTATTAAATATTTGATTATTTGGATTAGTATAAAACGTGATTAATAAAGTCTGAACGATTGGGTTTAATATAAAATTAGAGTTAATAGTAATTGTGTTATATAGATATAACGTGATAAGTAATGCGGTCAGATGATTGTCTTTTGGGTTTTAGTGATTTGAAATTCAGTTTTTTATCTCGTATATCATGTAAAGAAAACTATCACTATCTTTAATTTAAATATTTTAAAATTAATATGAATCATTTAAAGATAGTGATAGACTACTATATTCGATATTGGATTAACTTGTACATAAGAAATAAAATTTGTGAGGTATGGCAACTTAGTGAAGTGGTCTAGTTGTCATCCTCACCAAACGTTATGGGAAGATCCCATGTTCAAATCCCAGGGACAGCACTTTTGTAATATGGGAAAAGTCTGCAACGATCTTCACTAAGGTTGGCCTATGGAGGATCTGTCGAGACAGTGTCAGGTGGCACTGTTGAGGTGATTCCGGAAGGCTGTAATCTGTGGGCTGTGCATAGCACGGGTCACAGGACTGGAGATCAAAGCCCGTTTGGGGAGGTAGCAGTGATCTTCGATGGTCTACGTGAAGGCTGAATTTGAACTAGGGCCCGAGATTGGTGAACCGAGCGATTAGGTCCTTTAGTGAGGGGACACACCAGCCGAACCACCAGTTTAGACGCACCAGAGGAAAAGGCCATATGCTCTGAAAGTATGGACCAAGGGGAGGGCATCCTTCAGGCACCTAAAGTCTGGGCAGACCAACCCGTCTGGGTTGCCAGCTGGAAGTAAGGGAGGGACCAATAGAGAATCCGGGTAAAAAGACGGTTAGAATGTGGGTACCGGAGTTGTTGTGAACCTTACAAGGGCAGGAGTACATAATTGGCGACTAATTAGGAAGGTTGTGCTTGAGATACGGTTCAGGTTATAGTAGCACCCAAAAGTTGGCTTGAGATACGAACCTGGTGGCGGCAATACAACATATACTAGTTAGAAAGAAGTTACCGAACATGCAGGTGAGCGCATGTATGGAACATGCACTGCTCTGTTAGGTTTACTACAAGAATAAATGCTTTCTGTTGTTGGCTAAAGTCTTAGGGTCTTAAACGGTAAATTACTCTCTATATAGAGGTATATTAGGAGGAATCATGTGATGTCGGTTGAAGCCAGAGAGTTTAAATAGATAGCTTCCTAGTTAGGCTATAGGTATAATAACTAGTGTAGAACCCCTAGCATAGCACTAACGCTTCGGGTGGACTACTTAAATAGGCAATCAAAAGTTGTATGTGTAACTAGTTGTATTCTCATAATACTGATAAAATATGTAAAGCTGGTACTAAAATTAACATTGGCCTACTGCTTGTGCTAATAAAGTGCCAAGGGCCTAAGTAGTGTTCAAAGACAAGCCGGCTTATCACGGCTTATCGCGTGATAAATTTGAATTTATCACCAAGCCATGTGATATCCTCGAAGTTGTCACATGATATTTTCGCGATTGTCACATGGCTTGGTGATAAATTCGAATTTATCATGTGATAAGCCGCATTAAGCCACAGCAAGCCGTGATAAGCCGGCTTATCTTTGAACACTAGGCCTAAGTGGTCACTTTAATATTTAAAAAAAGAAAAAGAAAGAAAAATAAAACATAAAACAAAGAAGAACCGGAATAACCACCAACTCGACCAAACTAAAACTCAGACTACCCTCTACCATAAACTGCAATGCCTCGACCTCTGACTCTAAATCTCCTATCCCTGTCTTCAAATCTGTCACCCGCATCCGAAGCCTATTCCTCTCCTCTCACAACCTAGCTATCTCCATTTCATACTAGTAATTTAGCCGTACCAGCTCCGTCGGGTCGTGCTCTTGAACCTGAGCCTGTAGGTTTGCAATCTGGTTTTGCAAACCCCGAACAATGGACGGAACAGACTAGCTGCGAGGGATACATGGCATCTAAATTAAATACAGAAAAAGTTAAAAAAAGAATGCTTTTTCTAAGATAGATAACTTGAAAAATGGAAGTATAGAAAAAGGAAAAGAAAGAGGAAAAAATAAAGGAGAAAGTATCCACTGAGGCTATATAGTCAATCATACAAGTCATAAAGAAAATCAATCATCCAAGCACAAAGGACTATTAGCTCACTCAGACATGGATGGCCGGCGATTGCCTCGAAGGAGTAAAAGCCAACGAAGTTTAGCACACAGCCCGAAAAGTATACCTACTTTTTGAACAGAAAACAAAAGCGAAGACCAGGAAGACGAGAAAAATTCACAAGAAATTATTACTAAAAGAAAAAGAAGAAAAGAGTATTAGATAAGAAAGTTTTTAGTAAAAAGAAGCATAGAAAGGAAAAATAGAAAGGATTATATAAAGGAAGAAAATTTTTGTATGGAATTTTGAGAAACAAGACACACAGAAAACACAGATATAAATAGAGTTAAAAACAATAAAGATAATTTTCCCAGAACAAAGAAAATTATCGCATAACAGAAACAAAAAAAATCACAAACAATAATGATGTGATTTACAAATTTAGACAAAGATGAACAAATTAGAAATAGAAGCTAATTTTAGATATACTAAAATGGAAGTTCAGTAGACCTCACAAATTTTAAGGGAGGAAAAGACAAAGAAAATGACCAAACACATTCTAGGCCAAGAATTTTTGCCAAGTATTGCCAAGCTATGGCTGAAACAATTACAAAACATGTGGGAATAACACATGTAAACAGATTGTAGCATGTTGGAAACACAAGGAATGAGTACAGATTAAACAAAATAGAAAAGTTTTCAACTGTATAGCATGAATACCCACTTTAACAAATATTTAAAGACAAAGAATTTACCTTTCCAATGACTCATATTCCTTAAACAACATTTCAAAACTCTACAATCTATTATGAAATGACCACCCAACTGACTTGGCTTAATTTATACAAAGATGTGTGAATTACAACAACTGTGTAATAGTCTTAATTACACAGGGACCATTATTGTTGATCTTGGCAGTACAACAATTATCCAGGATCCAGACCACACATGCACCATCCCTGCAGATCCTAACGCCATTAATATGATTACGGACCCCTTAGCCAAATTAAAGGCAGATCTTCTACCTAACGGAAATGACCAAATATTCCTTGTAACAATTGTGAAAAACAAAGACCCTAGTAAACAGCTGGCAGAAATCCTTGTAAAGTATAATGCTGTTATTGCTTGATATTCGAAACAAAAAGATATCAAGAATCTTTGCCGCATATATGCTCTTGCATATGTCTTTCATATGGGAGCTCTCCTGAAGAGTCATGGAACAACTATCAAAACCACCATCTAGAAAATCAGGCTAAAATCTATAAATAGATTTTTGACCTATTTCAAGCTCGTGGTTATAACCATATTTATCAGACAAAGGAATTTAAAGTCAGTGACTTTAATAATCTAAATAAAACCAGTTTTAATACACTTTTACTTTTTAGTAAGAGTCAAGTATAGAAGTTTAGATTTTACAGAGTAAAATCTTAAGGGGAGGAAAATGTTACAAAGAAGGTTGTAACACAATGTAATGTTAGTATAGTGTAGAATAGATTATATTTTATAAATTGTATTATTATATATTAGTTATATTTATTTA